GAATCATTTAAAATTAAGCCATTAAAAATCAAAGCAGTATCAGCAATGTGGCTCTTGGCTAGGAGGAAACAAGCCTCAGTCCCAAGGCCCAGAAAGCCCCATCCAGCGTGGTCAGAGCTGGAGGGCAAGAGGCACAAGACACCCTTGTGTTGCATTAAATTGGTCTCAAAGTAAACTTCGCTTGTCCCATGTGTTCTAGGAGCAATTTCTTAAGGGTGTAGCATGCCTCCCAGGCCCTGGCAGCATGCTGATGATAGGGAAACCAGTGGGATGCACTGTGCTCATGAATTTTTAATCAAAATCACTTAAAGGAGAGCCCCTTCTTGCTCTGATACCTGCCAGCAGGTAGCAGCAGCCCAGCTGCCTCTTGGGGCTCCTCAAGAGGCCCCAAGATCTCATCTGTTACATTCTGCTCTGCTGGGTGTGTGGTCCTCAGTTGTCCACAGCTCAGCAGTCAGCGGGGTTCACCCATCTACCCCTTGGCCCCAGCAACATTTCTTATCAGCTCCTACTGATAGTAACAAAAATGAAGATCTGATTCAGAGTAGGATGGATGGAAACCCCATCTTGATCAGAAAGTCACACTTTTTGGGTTTTATGTCCGTAAGGACAGAGCCCGGCCTGGCGTAGCCACCACTCAGCAGACGCCATGAAAGGCCTGTTGCCTTGGGCTCTGCATTGCATTGCACAGAGGAGCAAGACAGGAACACACACTCTGTTGAGCATTAGTCCTCGATACTCTCCATCTTGACCTTTGAGAAAAACGTTTTCACAAGTGTGATCTCTCTCTGCTGCTCCTCTGCAACTCCAAGTAATGGTTTGCTATGCAGTCTCACATATTTGCTTTCTAGCATTAGACACACCAAGTTCCAACGGGAGGCCAGGTTTCCAGCAAAGCTGTCAGAAGGCCCCTCCCCTCTGGCTTTATTTAGGTGCAGTCCTGTGTCTCAGGTGGCTCCATGTGCCCAGGCAACCCCCTAGTCCTCCCTGAGCCTCCTGACACTTTGCCACATGGAGCGTCCTATGTTTGGTCCCCGGGAGTTGGCAGATGCCAGCGAAGATGGGGTCTGGAGCCCTAATGCCACAAGCTCGGGCCCAGCCCACCGTCTCAGCCAGCCTCCCGCCCCCCACCCCTGCCTGGCAGATGGAAATCAATCTTCTCTGTCTCCCCTGGCCACATACATTGTTGCCTCCTGCTGGATTGAGGCTCGACCTGCTCAAGGACACTGGGGAGTAGAGTCCCCCAGGCAGGCCACCTTATAGGTATAGAAGACTCCGAGCAGGCCCCACACTGGGTCAGTGGTTTGGACTGGTTGGCTGTTTCAGGAGAGTTTATTTGGACAGGAGGAATCCTGATGAAAGCAGGGTCATGGCTTTGGCCTCCGTCTAAGCCAGTTACATGTGTCCCTGTGGCTCCTGGTGCCCAGCTGATTGCCCTCTGCCCACGTACTGCTGCCAACAGTCGCCTGGTGGCCGATCTGAAGGGTCATCCCCAGGGTCCTCTCTTGTCCGCTCCTGGCATCGCCACAAAGATGGCATGGGTACAGTCCAGGGAAGCATGGAATCACCATCAACCAGTGTGATCTTAAAACAGACCTCAAATAATTGAGCCGTTATTCTTTCTATATTACTTTGAAAATGTATCAGAAAACCATAGTCACTTGATATTAAAATGATGAAAAACCTTTAAAAAGCAGGGAGGCGCCTGGGTGGCTCAGTTGGTTAAGCGTCCGCCTCTTGGTTTCGGCTGCAGAGAATGTGAGTCCTACCAGACCCATGTCATTTGTGTGTCCTGGGAAGCGGGGTCAGGGAGCATGAACCACCTTGGTCATCCAACAGCGACAACCACCCGCTCTACAAGCATGCTGGGCATGCCCGCATCCCCGTATTGAAGGGATCCTCCTGCCCTTCAGCTTCCTTGGCCTTGGTCAGCAGCAGTCAGTGTGGCTGAGGACGCGGCTTCCCCTTGGAAACACTTGCTTCCCTGGGCCTGTGGCTCGGGCTGGTTGCTCTGCCACGTCATGGTGCCCCTGTAAGACATGGGTCTGGTCTCACCTCCGCCTTTCTCCCACCACTTTCCAGGGCCTCTCTCTGCCCTCAAGGTAAAGACCAGAACCCGCATGGTGGCCCAGGGAGCCATGAACTGCCTGGCTCTGCAGCCCTTGGGTGCTTGCCCCTTGTCCCTCCTCCAGCCTTTCCTCTCTTCCCAGTTTTTCAAGCACGCCGAGCTTGCTTCTCCCAGCTTTTGCCGGGCAGGCCTCTACACCTCCCTCACCCGGCCGACCCTCGGCCCCGCACCTAACAGGCCGGCCTGTGGCTCACAGAGGCCCTCTCCGGCCCCGGCCCCATGACGTCCCTGTGGTATGTTCTTATGGCCCTGCCTCTATTGTGACAGGTGCAAAGCTTGTCCCCTGCGGTGTGAGCCCCACACTGGGGTCAGAGGCTGTGTTTGTGCCCTGAGCCGGTCCTGACAGTCAGGCTGTCAGCAGAGGTCAGTGAGCACCAAGAACAGGCCCCTTCCAGGCACAACAGGCCTACAACTTGGTTGCCCATCACACACCGTCTTCCCTGCATGGAGGGGCGAGGGGGTGCATTTCCCATTAACTCACCAGTTGTGATGTCGCTCACTAACATCTGCTGACCTCCTCTGGTGTCTGCTCACCACCATCTGCCTACCCACCCTGCCCCACGCCTGTTCTAGGGAGTGAACGAAGGGCCCTAACCTTTCTCCCATGGCCATTCAAGGAGAGCTGTGGGTCCTCCATATCCCGGGGGTCCCGGAGCCAGGTGGCCACACCCGTGGAGGGCCCTCTGGTCCCTGCCTGAAGGTCTGTGGTGCTGTGGTGAACTCCACTGGCAACTATCCTGAAGGGAAACAATCCTGAGCCTTTGGTGGTCTCCGTCTCCCTCTGGCAGAGGGCTGGCGTGATGAGCAAGCAAGAAGTCTCTCTCTGTTCAGCCTAGCTCCCAAGCAGCACTCTGGAAACATGACACCTGTGCATCAGCCACAGGGACACAATCCATGAAGGGGCTGCCTTTGAAAATCAAAGTTCTCTCTCCCAGGAATAGGAGCTCCTGTCAGACTTGGAGTTGCCTGGGAGACACAAGGGATGTTACGCTCCTGCTTGCACATTCTCATTCTACCAGGCATCCCATTGTCCAAAGAACAAGAAGTAGACTTTCTGACTTCTCAGAGGTGTGGATGTGCTGTGGTCTCTGGCACCTTTCCTGGTCTGGTGGAGGAGGGAAGCTGACTGCCTAGCAAGGGCTGCTGGTAGCACATAGAGCTCATCAGCTGAGCATGGTCAGAACTGGTCAGTGAGTTGATGAGAAATGGCCCCCTCAACCCTCCACACAAGCAAGAAAGGGACGTGATGGTCGCTTGCGTTGTAGGGTGGTTCTGCCTGCCTGGGGCACGTGCCAGGTGCATCTCTCATTCCATCTTTGTGATTTCTGCTTCTAGTGACCTTCACCCTCCTGAGGACCACCTGTGGTGCCATGTGCATCTTTGCTAGTCAGAGCCATGGGAAGCCCCCCAGCAGCCCACTCCCCCACCTGCCTCTGCCAAGGCACCAGCAGCTCCTGAGGCTTCTGCTCAAGCCTGCCTGGCTCCCTGCTCATCTGGATCCAGTTCCTTCCAGAATCCCTGTCCCGTCCCTTGTTGGGGAGCCTAAAACAGACCCTCGAGGAAGGAAGGAGACCCCTGGCTCCCTTGGCTTTGAGGGGTATGGATCCCACCCTCCTCCAGACACCCCTAGACATCCCCATCTCTGAGGCTGCTGTAACTGTACCACAAACGCGGGGGGGGGGGTTGTTCAAAGCACCAGGAAGTTATTCTCTATCAGTTCTTAGGTCAGAAGTCCGAAATCAAGGTGTTGGCAGGGTTGGTTGCTTCTGGAGACCAAAGGAGAATCTCTCCCAGCTTCTGGCTGCCTGGATCCCTTGCATCACACCTGTCTCAGCCTCTGTCTTCGCATGGCCTTTCTTCCCCTCTGGGTGTCTCTGTTCTCCTCTTCTGTCTCTTAGAAGGACACTTGTCACCAGAATTAGGACCCACTGTAATCAAGGGTGATCTCATCTCAGGATATCTACTTTATCTGCAAAAACTCTTATTCCAAACAAGGTCACCTTCACAGATATCAGGGACTATGGCTTAGGCATCTCTTTGCGGGGGGGGGGGGGGGAGGGCATAGTTCAACTCACTGTGGCATAAAATACCTCTGCCCAAGAAGAAGGGTGCTGCCCTGGGGAGGGCTGGGGCAGGACAGGCAAGGCAGGTGGTGAGGGGCTGGGGACAGTGTCGTCCCTTACGGCTGGGTCTACAGGATTCCCTGTGCAAAAATCACCTCAGTGAGATCATCGTGGGGCCCAGATCCCTCTGCTTGGCCCTTGGCCACTTCCCTTGGCCAGTTTAACATGCACCACAGGCTTAGTGGGAAGCACCTCCAAGTAGACCACTCCTCCAGCAGTCTCCCTGCATAATGCTTGCTCTCCAGCACCTGCCCCTCAGTCACTGCTACAGGACCAGTTTTCCTTAGGGGTTAATCTTCAGCTCCTGGAAATGCAGCCCTTACATAAGCTTGTGCTTTGTCACATGAAAGGTTTTGTCTGGGTCTTCTTTGACAAATGCAAGAATAATTAATTCAAGTTCTAAGAATAAAAACAGGTCTCCCCACACTGCCTTCTTCTATGTTAAACACAGTGTGATGCTGACCAACCCAGACCTAGGCCCAAAGAGTGACTATCTGAGCCGTTCCTGGGGGGCACTTGGAAGCTGCTTCAGGACAGGTGTCCGTGGCCACCAAGCTTCTCCAACGGGCTGAAAAAAAAATGTTATTAACAAACAACCCAGGCAGGTAAGACCTGAGGGTTTTGAAGGCTGGAAGATGAGGCCGGTGAGAAAACAGGTGCCTCTGGACTCCAGCCTGACGTTGCCTTTCTCTTCTCTGGGGCAGGGGCCTCCTGTCGACTCACTCCTGTCTCCTCTTGTCTGTTTGCAGGACTCCTCTTCCTCGGCCGGACCCGCCCCAGCAACTGAACAGCAAAGCACAGCTCCCAAAGTCCAGCTGCCCCTCAACGTGTGAGCTGCCATTTATGTTTCTGGGGTCCTGTGCCTTCGGCACCTCCCTCCCACCTCTGCTAGCATATACACTTATGGTTCCTGTAGGATTTCCTGATTTGTTACCAACGAGTCAGTTTAGTTATGTGCATCCACTAATACTGCTGACAAGAGAGTGTGGAAAACAAAAGTCTAGCAGCTTCTTTCAATGTCACTGTCCCCAGGACATTTGTAAGAAGGGGAAATATTCCAAATATTTGGTGGCACAGGTGCTGGCCAGTCAGGAGCAGACCAGCCATAGCCCAGAGAAGATCCTGGAGGCCCGTGAGGAGGTGGGGAGGCACGGGGGCCAGAGCGGCAGGCGGTCTCGCCAGCCTGGGACAGTAGCTAGTTACCAAGTGCTCAGAAGTAGCTCCCTGTTTCAGAGCCACGACTGGCCTACAGTTATGGAAGCTTATATCATAGCAGCTGCGTATCATCCCCAAATATAACCAGATGAATCATTGCCAGGAAGCGAGATGCTTATCTTGTTTAGAAAATTTGCTCTTGTTAAATTACAGCTCTTAAGAGCTACGTGCAGTTTAAAAATTCTCCATTTAAATGGTGTTCTGAAAAATTAGACTGCCTTCTTACTCTTTTATTTGGCAATGAGCTCAGTTACTTGAATGAATGTTTTGAGGTGGAGAATATGAATTTGGCAAACAATATGGCAAAGTAGAACGTTCCACAGCTTTAGTGCAGGTGAAAAGGACACTTAGAACCTGCACTGTTGCAGAACAGAAATTCCAAGCGAAAAACAAAAGCAAATGGGAAAAAAAAAAATTCCTTTTGAAAAAGCAAGTTGCCAAGCTTTAGAAGGTTTCCTAGAAGCTTAAATATACCAGCAAATTTTCACCTACCTTTTTACACCCAGCTGAAATGTTTGTCTTTATTTGGTGGCAGGAAATCCCTGAGCATCTTTCTTTATCTGCCCACTGCTGTGATTGCATTATTTCTACAACCAACTAAACAAGAGGAAATTAAGACTTGCCTATTTTTTACCTAGCTTCCTGAAGGGAATATAGATTAGTAAGCTACCTTTAGGTGTCTTTAGGCTGCCACTCAAGTTTTCACCAACACTGGACAGAAGATGCTCTCTTCTGACCTAGTGTCCTGATAAGCTCCAAAGGCTTCCACTCAAACCTGGGGGCCAAGGAGCAACACAGGGAAGGATGGGTAGTGATAGCCTTGCTCTTCTTGAAGAACTGGATGCAGGACCCTATCCCTGAGGAAGTAGACCAGCATCCACAGGAGACCATTAGGCACTATTTTGGTTGCCCAAATGAGAGGCAGGACAGAGTGAACTCTTCAAAGACAAGGCCCAGGTGTTTCATTTTGGGGTCCCCCCAAATGAATGCCTGGCACACAGGCTCTCAGTAACTTTTTCCTTGTTCTGATGGTAAAAGCCTTCCCCATCCTGGGTGCAAAGGGCTTCTGGTATCAGCCCAAAGCCTCCAGCTCTTACACATCAGGTCAGCCACCAAGAGGACTACTCTGTCTTTGAGACCCGAAGGTTATTAATACAGTCCAAGAGTATTATGAATACATACTGGAGGCCTCAACCATGCCCAGAACTTCCATGTTGTGGAGGCTCTTTAATTCGGTATAGAGTATGGAATGACCTCTTTCTCCTGCCCCTGCTCTGCCCTGGGACGTGAGGAGGCCACTGTAGTTCCCAGACCTCTGCCCCCTCCTTATCTGCCTCTCCCCAGAGCACGGAACCCCCATTTGGGTGGAGATTTTCATTTGAGTAACAGAAGGGAGACTTATGTGTCAGATAATGTCGTTGAAAAGATAAGTATTTTGGCAGGCATGTGACTACTGGTGACAGTGGCCATCTGAGCAGCAGATGAGTCGTGGCCAGCGTAACCGGGACTGGCTGTTGAGAGTTAAACGTGTGCTCTCTGTGGCTGTTTCTGCCGTGTAACAAGCCCCAGGGCGGGGGACACCATGTACAGCATTCCACATGATCCATTTTGAGAGCATGACCTTTGAAATCACATTTTTAATTTTGTTCCCAGGGAGGAGAAGATGAGGCTGACTTCATCAGCCCATCAAGCAGGGGACTAGCCTGACCACTTGCCCATCCTCTTTAGCTCCAACAAGTTAGCTATCCCACGTGTGCCGGTGACAAGTGTCTGTGGGGGGAGTATGGTTGCTCTTTATCTGACTGTCCTACCCAAAACCATACAAAAGTCACTTTCAGAAGTTTGAGCTTGAACATAAGAAGTGCTGCCTTCCCAGAAAGAGCTGCAGCAACAAGAGTGCTGCTGTGAGCCAGGAGTCTGCAAATAGGAGTGACCCCAGGGCCTCGGGGAGCGCCCCACAGTGCTGGGCTGAGGTCAGTCAGTGCTGCGGTCCCGCCCACAGGCCCTCATTCAGTCATCCTCATAGTCCGCGGGTTTCACCACCATGGCTCAGGTCCTGTGCCTGGGTGGCAAGCCCACATGATTAAAAGGCCAGACCCCTCAGGTCCGCCTTCAGTAGCAGGATGTTCTTACGTCCTTCTCCAAGCGTATAAAGGTGTCTGCTGGCAGGGGCTTCCTAGGGACCTGGTAGCCCTGAAACACAGAAAGGGGGTCTCAGTTTGCCCACCCAGTGCATGGAGGTGGCTGCTGGTCTTCAGATCTGCAGAGTCCATGCCCTCCCTGCTAACTTCTGCAGTGTTGGGAAGCCACCCCAAGTCCACCCCTGGCTATTGGGCTCACTGCCCTTCATCTTCGTGACCCGCCATGCCTCCCAGGGACAGAAACGGGTCAGGGAAGGCCCATCTGGAAGGGCTACAGCATTCCAGTACACTTCTGAGTAGTCCACCGCTCAGGCTGGGGGCTGAATTCTCACCTCCTCTCCTCCGCAGGCATCTCAGAGCCAGATGGGATGAGGACCAAAGGGGCGGGCAGAGCAGAGGGCCAGGCGAGGGAGAGGGCTGAACCAGCTCCAGAGTCTCACCCCGGTCTGGCCCAGCCTCTTGGACGTGCTGCTGAGGACTCTCTCATGCTGGAGGAGGAGCAGAAACAGTGTTGGGGGGGCCAACACAAGCCAGACTGCTGCTCCCCGTTTGTCCCAGTGCCTGCAGGTCTGCGTACCTGTGAGCCAAGGGCGGGCAGAGCTGTGGGTTCACTCAGGGACCTGAGCGCAGCTTGCCATCTGGGAAGGAAACTTCCACAGACAGATGGGTACAGTTTATCCCTGGGGGAAACCAAGAGCCTCCTGAAGTGTGACTACTTGCATGCCACCTGCGAGGTCTGGGAGTCTCTTTGTGGGAGCCAAGAAAGCCCGGGAGGGTGGGGCACAGGGAGTGGGGCTGCCTGCAGACTGGAAGTCCTGGGTGAAGGGCTGGCCACTCCATGGCTTCATGACATTTCCCCAGACACTCCCTGTTCTCCCCCTCTGAGCACGTGCACCCATAGTCAGCCTCATCTGCAACCCTGCATTGGCTCACACCTCCCCAGCTCAGCTGCCACCTCCTACAGGGGGACTTACGTGGCTTTCTGAGCATGGATGGTGCCCCTGCTGACTCCATAGCATCCTAAGCAGACCCTGACATGCACCTATGCTGTCTCCCCTTCCCCAGAGTGGATGCTCCTGGGGCAGGCTCCTCCACCACCTGGCCGCACCTGGCCATCATTCTGTAGACATCCATCAAATGGTATGAGTGGGCATGTGTCTTGCTAACTTGAGCTGGTGTGACCCTGGTAACCAGAAAAGCAGGAGCAGATCACTTCACTGGAATAATTGAAAAGAATCTTTTACTTATTCTAGAAGAAACATGAGCAAGCCATCATATAGAGGAGAAAAGGTGTGAAATTAATGAAGGCACTAAAATACTTCAATTCATTCCTTGATTAGAGCTGAAGAAAACTGTAGATAATTAACACAAGTGAACAGCTTGCTATAGAAATGAGCAAGGAATACGGGTGAGTGATGGTGTCCTTGGAGATATCCAGTAGGCTGCTGGTAAAAGCAGACAGTGCATGATGCCAGGCTGACTGGCCACAGCTGACGGTTGCTTCCATGTGTGCGCCGTCAGTCCAGGGCTGACCTACCCCCCTGGGCTCACACTCGCAGGACTGCTTCAGACTGGAGGAGGGAGCACCTTATAACCTGAAAGCCCCATATAGCCTACAGGATGGTGGGGAAGAAGGCTTTCTGAGACATATTCTCCTACTATTGCCTTAAGTAAGGTATTTTTAGTACCAACCTTGTGTGTGAAGTGACTTCTGGGCCTGCAGGAGCAGTCCCCGCCTGACCCACACATGTTTCTGAGATGATCCTGAGCCATCTGTGGAAGTCTGTGTTGAGCTGAAGAGGGCTTTTGAAGGAATGAAAAGTGAGCTTGGGCCCTGGGAACCGTGAGGATGAGGACCATACGGGTGCAACCTCTTTCGTGCCAGGCCCACAGGGCCCCTGCAGGCTCCGTGAGGACTGCCTGCAGCTCTGAGCACCGACGGGGCTGCCCAGCTCGCTCAGAGACCCTCAGCAAGGCTGTTCTGGCTGCGCGCAGCGGAGGGGACTCGGGTGGAGAGGGAGCCATGAGGTGGCACTGCTGTGGTTGTCCCGCGCGTCTGTCTGACAATGGGCGGGGCCATCCGCCATTCATGAGGGGTCGTCCCTAAAGAAAGCAGATGCAGATGCCGAATGACAAATCCCCCCACCCCGGGCCAGCGCCCCTCCCCAGCACGAGCCTCGGGCCGGATCTGCAGGTGCCACGTGCAGAAAAATGGCCCACAGAGCCATCTGTTTCTGCTTTTTTCTGAGGCACCCAAAGGAAAAATAAGTGGGAGGGGCAGAGATTTTTCAAGGTGAAGTCAGATTTATTTACATTCCAGTTCCCCCAGCAACGCACACCTAGAGGCCAGACTTGAAATATTGAGACCAGGGGCGTCTGGGTGGCTCAGTCGGTTGGGCGGTTGCCTTCAGCTCAGGTCATGATCCCAGGGGTGTGGGATCGAGCCCCACATCAGGCTCCCTGCTCTGCGGAA